ACACACACACACACACACACACACACACACACACAAGATACTACATATATATACAAAAAAAAAAAAAAAAAAAACCCAGAGCCCTCTATATGCTGCTTGCAAGAAAGAAACTCGGAGTCTAAGAATGAATGGTTGGGTGGGGCCAGCAGGTGGCATGGTGATTAAGGGCGCTAGACTCCCACATGGCTGACCGTGGTTTGAATCCCAGACCTGGCAGCTCACTTTCTCACTTTCCCTCTCTGTCTCTCTCTCACTCTGTCCCTCTCTGATAAAATTAAAACGAGTAAACAAAGTTAAATAAAATCAACCTTTAAAAAAAATTAAAAAAGAATGAAAGGTTGGGAAACATCATTCTATGCAAAAAGAAACAAACAAAAAGCAGATATTCCGTCCTAGTATCAGACAAAATATACTTCAAGAATATTTCTAAATTTCTTGAAATGAATGAGAACAAAAATATTACGCTCCAGAACCTAAAAGATACAGCAAAGTACACATGAAAAGTTTATTGTAACTAGTACTCATAAGAAAATCATTATATATTACATTATTATATCTATGCTTAGCATATACCAAATGTCTACTATGGCAGAAGCCAAAGGGCTTGAAAGTACAGAAATAAGGTAACTTAGATACCAGAAGTTCCCAGGGGTGGGGGGAGCAGTGAGAAAAATTTTAATGGAACAAGAGGAACAGTAAGGTTTGTGAGAAAATTTTTAATGGAACAAAATGCACATAAATAAGAGGACAAGGTTATGGGATGGTGCACCACAGCAGAGTAAATATTTTTCAAAAGGTACTAGAAGTTTTATCAAATGTGTTAACATAACTTACTGTTCAATGTTGAAGATGAATATATTTATATCTTCTATTTGATTATGACGCACTATTTACATCCTTTAAAAAAGGATTAGCAGCTCGGAAAAGCAAAAAAGAAAAAACAGATGTGCTATAAAAATATGAAAGGGAAAATTCATAAAAGAACAAGACATGAAAGGAAAATGCACAAGGAACACGGACAGACAACATTGGGAAATTTTTAAATAAAAAGAAAACTGTACTGGAAAAAAAACTGCAAAGACAAAGAATAATCTTTTTCAAATCAAAATTCTTTCCTTTAAATGTAAAAAGACCTATCTCTAATATAAAATATTCAATTCTCCACAATAACTAAGTAAAAAGAATTTTACTATGAATCACTGTTGTAATAATTTTTATCAGTGCTAACTTATATCCAGCCACATATCCTTCTCCCCACTCATGAGCTTCAGGGGAAAAATCTAATTTGGCAAAACCAAATGTCTGTATCTCATTCTTCTAGTTAGAGCATTTGGTTCAAACATGGACATAAGATCCAGACACAAGAAAATGAGTGTCTAAGAAACCCAAGTGCTCTCTTCTCTACACTGCTCTCTTCTCTACAGATATATTACTATGAAGATATGAAGCTTCAAACTGCTATAGCCATCCTGCTAAAAAGCCAGACTGAAGATACAAATACAGAGAGGAAAGTAAAAAAGAGAAAAAAAAAAAAAAAAAAAGCTTAGCTGGAATCAGACTATTCCAAGACTTCACTGAAATGATTAACTTTCCTCTTCAGTTTAAGCCATTTTGCAATGGATTTTGTGTTATCTGGACATAAACAGTCCCTAATGCCAAGGAGTAACTAGCTAAAAGTTGGAGATTTCAGTTATTACTTAAAAAGAAACATTGTTAGGGACCAGCAGTTGGCATAATGGCTATGTCACTGGACTCCCATGCAGTCAACCGCAGCTAGAGTTCTGGACGCGGTGGCATAAACTCACACTGGACGCTTGTGTGCCCAAGATCCTGAGAGGAGAACAGAGGAGAAAGGATTGCGGTGTGGCCATCCCCCCCCCCCCCCGGGGGGGGGGGGGTAATTTCTTGCTTTCTGTCTCTCTATTGTTCTGGTAAGCACACAAGCCCTATAGTAAAAACCTCCCCCCGCCCCGGAAAAATAAGAAGCATTGTTTAATGGTCCATTATTGCATTGCTAACAGAAATACCTGAGGTTGGGTGAATTATAAGAAAATAGGATTTAGTAACACAATTGTGGAGACTAGAAAATGTAAGGGCATCACCAAAAGGTAAAAGGCAGACTATTTTAGCAGAGCAGTCTGATCTGTATCTACATGGCTTCTTTGCCATTCTGGTCTCATTCCTTATGCTTATATACCTGCTATAACTCAATCATAGAGGTTATACCCTAATGACATTATCATACCCAAAGACCTCACTCTGGGACATCTTGAAGGAATTAATTTTTCACTTAATACTTTTAAAATGCAATCAAGTCCTAACATGAATTTCTGGGGGCTATCCAATTTGCTGCCCACTAACACCAAATTTCAAAATATGAAACTCTGGGGGATAAAATATGTAAACCACAACACTCAGAAAAAGAAAAAAGTTTTATATTCCTGGTTTTTCCTTCTAATCTAAACATTGCAAGTAAAGTTTCAATACCCACCTATATGCTCCTACAATAATAGAATGGCTGAACTTTAAAGTTCTCTCTTTAACATCTGATTCTGTAAAGCAACTGAATTTGAGGTGTCACATGAGACACTAAGAAGTATTACCATTCTCTTAGTTTTTCTTTTAATATATAAGAAAAAGAAAGTAACCTTTTTTCAAATTCAAATTCTACTCACTAGCAAGAATATTAGACACAGAAAAGAAACATAGTAGAAGTCTTAAACTTTAATTTAAAAATATGCACTTATAATTCTGATTACTAAAAATTCTATAATTACACTTGTTCTTTTCTACCATTTCACTATAATTTTCTTCTCACAGTGTACAAAATTTTTTTCTTTAAAGCTTACTAAAGCAGAATCAAGTCCAATACCTACCAGATAAATATTATTACATTAGTTGTTCTAAGAAATATGGTCTGAATAAAAAAATTAATGTTAATAGAATGTTAATAGAAAATTAACATTCAATTCTTATTTTCAGTATATTCTTATGTACCAATCCTTTAAAAGGGCTAACACTTTACCACTGAGTTGAGCAAAAGGGAACCGTTACACGAAAAGAGGATCTATTGAGTTGCTGATGCATTTGTGCACAGAAAAACAGAAAAATGCATCATGACTTTTCTGACAACCCAATACTTTTATTTAACCATTAAATATAGCATCTTTTATGTCACTAATGTCGCATATGGTGATATCCACAATGCAATGGGAACTTTTCAAACTGTAACCTCTGGTGATGAAATATATTTTATTTCAGTAAGTAATAGCAGTTTAATTAAATGTCATATTATGAGATCTCTGGTAGCCATGCCATTGACTGACTAAAGGAATTTTATATTTTATCCTCAACTATGTCTTCCAAATCCACAAGAAAATCTTTTATGACAAAAAAAAAAAAAAGGCAACAGTAAACAAATTGTAAGGGAAATTATAGCATTAGAAAAATTCTTCCATAATGTCACAAAGAAAATTACTATTATTTGGATTACTGTGATGGTATACTATTGTTAATAAAATCAACAGCATTTGATTAATGTATGTGCCTTCTTCCCCATCAAAAGTGTCTTGCCTTGGGAACCAGCAGTTAGCGTAATGGCTATGTCGCTGGACTCCCACGTAGTCGACCACGGTTCGTGTCCCGGACCTGGTGGCTTAAAACTCACGCAGGGCACATGTGCATGTGTTCCCAAGATCCTGAGAGGAGAATGGAGGAGAAGGGATTGCGGCGTGACCATCCCCCCTGGGGGGTGATTTCTCTATGTCTCTCTCTTGTCTGTCTGGCGAGCACACGCACCCTATAGCGAAAAAAATAAAAAACTCTTCCAAAAAAAAAAAGTGTCTTGCCTTCACTGTGCTACTTAAAAGATACCTATCACATCCAGAAGCATTTAAAATGGGGGAGAAAAAGTGACCATAAAGAATAGCTTGTAATTCTGAAGATATCCTGGGTTTAGTAATGTTTGTTAAATTAGTTAAGTAAATTAACTCACTCCTTAAAAAAGTTAAGCTGGGAAATGTAAAAAGTAGATGGTGCTCAAATGAGGTAGAAATTAGAACAAGCTCAAGATGAGCATGTCTCTTTCCTAAACTTCGCTCACACATACAGGAACTGTGAATGTACAACATAGGCCACTCAGTTTACCAACAAAATCATCTTGGCTGTGTTACTTTTATTTTTTTGTATTGTACATATAGCACTATTGAAATCTCTTATCTTTCTCTAGGTTATAGAATAGGGATTATACTAAAGAAAAACAATTATAAACAGGTATTACCTTTCTTGACATTAAAGGAAAAAATGCAAAAAAAAAAAGCTTCAGAATACTTAGATAAATGTGTAACATGTCTGTACATAAAGAGAACATCTACCAAATATCTGTGTATTCCAAAGCAACTGGAACTAAATCTTGATTGAAACTTGAAAAACATACATGTTTCTTCAAATTGCTGTACTGAGTTTTTAAACATTATTTATTTATTTAATTCCATTTGTTGTTATTATTATTTAATTTGACCAGAGAGAGAAAGGGAAAGTGAGAGAGCAAGCAGCCAGGCCCAGGACACAAACCATGGTCGGCCATGTGGGAATCCAGCACCTTTAACTACCATGCCACCTACTAGCACCTCCATACTGAGATTTTAGAAAGAACTTTTAAAAAGTATATTTTATAGGACCAGCAGATGACATAATGGTTATGTTGCTGGATTTCCATGTGGTCAACTGTGCTTCAAATCCCAGACTGGTGGCTTAAAACTCACACCACGTGCGTGTGCATTCACGCCCAAAATCCAGAGAGGAGAGTGGAGGAAAAGGTACTGCAACATGGCCAATTGTTTTGGAGGGTGATTTCTCACTTTCTGTCTGCCTGTCTCTGTCTCTCCAGGGAACATATGCATCCTATAGCAAAAATCTCTCTCTCAAAAAAAAAAAAAGTATCTTATTTTAAAAGATAGAGGTAGAAAATGGAAAACAGCAATCAAAAAAAGCAAACTTACCAAATATGTTAGTGGAATGTCCTTTCCTTGCAATAGGTCTGAGTTCATTATGTCCCCATCCATAGGTCCTGTAATTATCCCAAGCATGTTTCATCATCTTAGAAAAGAAAAATTATAATTTATCAATTTAAATTACTCACAGACTGTAATTTTTATTTTCTGTAAGTTACGGTTCTAATACTATATCCTTACCCATTACCCTAATTCTCTACAATAGTATATTATTAGTAGTTAATAGGGATATAAATTAACATTTGTAACAGTGTAAAATCATATAACTATGTTTAATTTCACAAAAAGAAAAAAAATAAACCAAGTATGATAAACTAGTTATTTTCCTTGAGAGGAAAGGTATCTATTTCTCAATCTTTCTTTTTAATAACTGCCAGCCAGTCCTTTTAAGAACAGCTTCATTTCCCTCACTCTGATTATGACCAAGATGATCACCAAAGGTCTTTACTTCTTTTTAATTTAGTCTGGCTAAAAATTCCCTTACCCTTAGACTAGAGATCAACAAATTTTAATCCTGTTGTTATAACCAAAAACAGAGCTAGATAATATGTAAGCCAATGTCATGGTTACGTTGCAACTGAGCTTTATTATTATTTTTTTAATAGTTTGCTACAGGGTGCATGGGATCCTCAATGAGGAGGGATGGTGAGAGTGAAAGAGAGAGAAAGTGAGAAATCATCCTCCGGGGGGAAAGCCATGCCACAATTCCTCCCTCTCCATTGTCCTCTCAGGATTTGGGGCATACATGCACACATGTACCCAGTGTGTTTTTTAAGCCACCGAGTCCAGGATTTGAACCACACAGTTGGCCATGTGGGATCCAGCACCTTAACTTCCCCACCACCTGCTGGCCCAATTGAACTTTATTTAAAAAAAAAAAAAAACAGGCAACAGGCAGACTTGGTCCACTAGTTGCAGTTTGCCAACACCTGCCCTAGACAAAGGTTGGGTGCACATGAGTCAAGTAGAGACAAGCAGGTCCTTTTACACATATTGCTATAGACACTAGAAGATAAGACTTTCATTTTGCAATCTCAAGGGCTACCTAATTCAGTATATAATCCTAGAGCTGAGAAAGGCTCTCTCCCAACATGGAGAAACTAAGTAACAAAAGGAAAGAGACAGAGACATTGATATTATTAACAATTACTTGTACAGACTTGGATTCAACCAAGCCTAAAGCCCTGGTTAGGGCCATTAAGCTAATAAATATTTTTATATCAATTAGTTTGAGCTGAGTTTCTTATAACCGAGGGAGTTCTGAGCTGTACAATAAGCAAAGTATTTAATTACATAACTGCTTTTTATAACAGTAGACTGTGCATATCAAAAATCTATTCATTGAACACAATACTATTCATTAAAACATTTCAGCTTGTTTTATGCAATCGGCATTAATCAGACACTAAAATTAGACAGAGACATTTTAAAAACACTTAAGACCAATATAATCTTCAGCATGCAGATACAAAAGTCCTTAATAAAAATTAGCAATCTATAAAGAAGATACTATACCATGACCAAATGCAGTTTAAACACAAGAACGTAAGGCTAATTTAACATTCAAAAATGAATCAACAGGGTACAGTCTGGTCGCACAGTCAGTAGCAAACTGACACTATAGCACTGGAAGTCATGTGATTAATCACAAATTAAGGTCTGCAGGTCATCCTGAAAACAAACCAGTTAATGCACATACATATGCCCAAGATCATGATGAGCTAGAGGACCAGTGAAAGGTGATCACTGCATGATGAGACCCTGTCAGTGGTGTCTCTCACTCTCTTGCGTCATACTCCCCCATATATACACACTGAATTCTATATCATGAATAAAATGAATAAACTTTTTAAAATCATTGGTTCACCATGTTAACAGAATAGAGGGGAAAACCAGAGTCGTCTAGACAGAAACATAGACAATGCATTTGACAAAATTCAACACCCTATACATGATTAAAAAAAAAAAAAAAGTAGGGGGTCAAGAGGTGGAGGGATGGTTAAAGCACTGGACTCCCACATGACCGACCTCGATTTGAGTCCCAGGCCTGGAGGCTTGCTTTCTCACTTCCTCCCTCCCTCCCTCCCTATCTCTATTCCCCTCTCTGTCTCTGTGTGTGTCTCTCGTGAGCACACTTGCCCTATAACAAATTAAAAAGAAGAATAATTAATAAAATTAAATAAATAAATCTTTAAAAACAAAACAAAAAATACTCAGGCCAGCAAGTGGCCTGGTGAAAGCATTGGATTCTTACATGGCCCAATGTTGTCCAAGTCCCAAACCTGGCAGCTTGAAAAGTATACCAGGTACATATGCGTGCATGCTCAAAAATCCCGAGAGGAAAATGGAGAAGGGACTGTGGTGTAGCCATCCATCTAGGGGGTGGCAGATTCCTCACTTTCCCTCTTTCTTTTTCTATCCTCTCTGGCAAGTACACACATCCTATGGTAAAAATCAAGACAGAACAAAACAAAAACAAAAACCTCTCAGTAAACTGCAATTATAAGAAAACATCCTCAATCTAATAAAGGGTATCTTCAAAAATACATCACCTAACACATCATACTAAATGGTAAAGACTGAAAGCTTAATCCCTACAGTTAAGAACCAAAAAGGATATGCATTTCTATATCACCACTTCTTTTCAACAATGTACTGGAAGTCCTAGTCAGTGTAACAGGATGCAAAAAAAAAAAAAAGGTATAAAAATTAAAAAGGAAATGCACCTCTATTCACAGAGGACAGAATTACGTACAGGAAAATCTCCAGCAATCCACAAAAAAGCCTTTAGAATTAAAACTGAATCTGCTAAAGTAACTAGATACAAACTAAAATCAAATGTATTTCAATATGATGAGTTATGTACTTATAGCAAATAATTGAGTCTAAGGGTTATCTTAGGTTCTACTAAACACACGATTGTGCTATCTGAAAAGACATGTATATAAGAACAGTATTTTAATAAATTGCAGTGATATCTGAAAAAAGCATCTGCGAAATCTATCAACATTTCCCCCATCACTGTCCAAAGAAAGTGCCTTAAGCAGTCTGTATATAAAACAGAGACTCTAGAAGTCAAAAATCATACTGTAGCTCATTTTGACTCTATCAAGGTGAAAGTTTTATAAAAATCCTTAAGGCCAAGCATAAAATATCTGCTAAATCATTGTATTCATCATTAGAGTTTATATTAATAGGTATTTGACTATTTGAACTAAATTTATTGTAGTTTATAGGATTTATTTTAGTTTATAATAAACAAGCCTTCTGAAATACCAGTGATACTATTATAATCTGACAAAGTCTTTTCTTCATTGGGAAAACTGCAAAGTCCACCAAGAATTATCAAGAGTCCTAATTAACCAAATTTAACTCAAATGATCACTAGATTCCTCTGTCCCCTCTGGTATTTATCTATAAGTAACTGCTAGAGAAACAAACTGAAAGATTTCTGGGATTAAAAAACAATTTTTTGAGGGAACCAGCAGTTAGCGTAATGGCTATGTCGCTGGACTCCCACGTAGTCGACCGCGGTTTGTGTCCCGGACCCGGTGACTTAAAACTCACGCCGGGTGCGTGTGCGTGCGTGCCCAAGATCCCGAGAGGAGCATGGAGGACATCCCCCCTGGGAGGTGATTTCTCGCTTTCTGTCTCTATGTCTCTCTCTGTCTGTCTGGCTAGCGCATGCGCCCTATAGCGAAAAGAAAAAACTCTCAAAAAAAAAAAATTTGAGATTAATCCTTTCCCTTTCTTCAATCCACGGAGACCATGGAAGGAATGTATTCTTAATTCAATGTGCTTGAAGGGTATCATGACAGGTTTCTTAAAATATGGCAACTATAATGCTAACCTTTTTTCATAAGTTTACTTATTTCTTCCATCCAGAGAGAGAGAAGAGAGACACCTCACAACTGTGTCCTCACACCACAATCTACCCCAGACTCAGCCAGCCAGGATAACAGGCACACATGTACCCAATACATAGCAACCTAGGACACAAACCTAGGCTGTTCTTATGTGGTTTTAGCATTGTGCTGTGGAGAACGGTCAATCTGAGCCAACAGGGTGACCTTTAGACATATACAGAAACAAGGTTCCATGAGTTGTCATTTGCACAGTGATGAGGGCAATTTGCATGCGAATACACTAGCTACCAGTTATTACTGAAACTGCAGAGCAATATCTGTCTAAAGGAAGTCACATGTGTTTATCGGAATTGGCCCCGAAAGATCAGAGAAATGACATAGCACCAGTTGTCCTGACATCTTCAGCCAATTAACATCCCAAAACAACTGGCTTTGCATTCCATTTCCTCTTTCCCCATTTTTTGCGCTTTAAAAGAATAAACCTGGATGGCTATCTCCATCAGAAAAGTTGGGGCCACCAGATCCTCACTTTTCTATACTTGTATGTCTTTGTGTGTTTATTTTCATGTTTATTTCTAACCCACAGCCCCGCCACTCAGAAAAACACATTCTGACGAGTGATTCCAGGCATTGTGCTACCACTATACCATCATGGCTGGCCACAATGCTAACTCTTTAGAAGCATATTTATGAGGAAATTAGCATAGTATCTAGCAGAGGCCCTTGATACTGAACCCTTAAGAAATAGCTTATATGGGCCAATCAGTGGTGCGGTGCCTAAGACAGCTGATCCCATAAAGCTAAGTGCACAGTACAAGTCTCAGACCGGCATTTTTTTTTTTTTTTTAGTTTTTGCTATAGGACATATGCACTCACCAGATAGAGACAGAGAGAAAGAGAGAGAAAATGAGAAATCACCTTCCGGGGGAATGGCCACACCACAACCCCTACTCCTCCATTCTCCTCTCAGGATTTCGGGCACACACATGCATGTACTCACCATATTTCCCAAGCCAGCAGGTTTGGGACTAAAACCGCTCAGTTGGCCTGTGTGTTAATCCAGCCATATTAACCTACACGCCATCTGTTGGCCAAGACCTAGCAACTTAAGAAATATGCCAGGCTCATACATGTGTGCCAAAAATCCTGTTAAAGGAAGAAATGGAGGAAGAGGAACTGTAACATGATCATTTCCCAAGGAGGTACTCTCTCACTTCTGCCTCTCCATCTCTTTCAGGTGAGCACACATGCTCACTGACAAATTACAACAAACACACAAACAAAACTTCTTATTCATGCTAAAATAGATATGGATCTATTCTACATTATTTATAAAATGCCAAAATTCAAAAAATCTCTGAATACAGGGTCATATCAAATTTTTAAAGTGCTCAATAATTATATTATAAACAATGGTAAGAAAGAGTTATAGCCCTTATTGCCAACTTAGAAGATAAACTATAACTATGACTCAAGAATAAATAAGACCAAATTATAATACCTTATGATATAAAAACAAATGTTTATATCCAGTCAAATACATATCCATAACCACTCCATATCACAAATTTCTGCTTATTACCTCTTTAATTTTTTCCCTTTTCTTTCTTATGTCATTATCTTCTGGATCTCCACCATTTATTCCTACGAGGTTTGGAATAGGAACTGGCGGCAGTGGCTTATTCTCTTTTGTCTTCATTTCTTGAACTACCTTATTTTTCTCTGTCTGAATTTCTGCTCTTATTTCTTCTCTTGACTTTTTTAATTTTTCTTTTGCTTCTTCCAGGGCCTTCTCATGATCAGCTCGAATTTTATTTCTCAGTTGTTCTTCTTCTTCCCTGAGTGAAAAAGAGCAAAAAAGATTTAAATGTGAACCCTCTTAAGAACTTCCACCTTTAAACACAAAAGGTTCCTCTGTCAAACTACTTTTTTTTTACTCTTGTCATTGAAAAGATAAGAATTTTTAGTGAGGGGCCAGCATACATCACTGGACTCTCACATAGCCGAAGGCGGTTTGAGTCCGACCCAGTGGCTGGAAACTCATGCCAAGTACGTGTGTGCGCATGCACATGCCCAAGATCCCAGGAGGAGAATGGAAGAGAAGGGATTGAGCATGGCCATCCCCCCAACTCCGGGGGGATGATTCCTCACTTTCCCCTCTCACTGTCACTGTCTCTGTCTCTCTGTCTCTCTTTCTCTCTCCAGCAAGCATACATGTCCTAAGGCAAAAACCTCTTTAGAAAAAAAATTATCAGTGAGAGAAATTCAGATTGCCCAAAAGATGGGATAAATATAACTTAGAACAAACAAAATAAACCCTTGATGCTGAAGAACAAGCACTCTTCCCAGTAGAGGAAGAGGCAACCTAGAAACACACAGTAAAGGAAAAGAGAACCTAGAAACAAAGTTACAATTTCTAGGCTAAATGAGAACAGAAAAAATATCAATCAATAATTTATTTGGACATATAAACAAAAAATAGAGAACAAGGAAAAGTTAAATGAAGGGGTGAAAAATGAGAAACGGCATTAAGTATCAGAGAGGGGATAAAATATAAAACATAGGGCCAAAGAAGAAAATAAGGGGAAAGATTAAAGGATGGGGAATTTTTCATTTACAAATGGAAAATGTACACAGATCTTATTATGGTATACTAGCTCCCAATGAACATGCACATGACTACTTAAAACTCTCTTGAGCCCTTGTTAAAAATAGATTCCAATTTAATAAGTCCTATTACAAAGAGGTTTTCAGATGAATCTGATGAGTACACAGATTGGAAACCACTACTACAGTGGTCACCTACTGGATTTTCTACCTAGCTCTACTTTTTAAAGGCAACTCAATCTTCTCTCCATATCCATCCCAATCCACATGAATGAATACAGGAGTAGGCTGTCAATTTCCAATTCAGCCAGTGATGATCATTCCAAGGATAAACACCTAACTTACTGTGGTAGGCAGTTAGTCAGTCATGAGCGGGCAGCCCTAAGAGAAAAGCAAAAGGCTCACCAATCCCAAGGGGCCAGGAGGGCGAGGCAATTTGCCATCTTCCTTCCTTGGGGCCTGAGGAAAGCACACCGGGATGATTTGTAGATTTTTTTCTCTTATCAAAAAGACCCAAGCAGTTAGCGTAATGGCTATGTCACTGAACTCCCACATAGCCGACCATGGTTCGCATCCCGGACCCGGTGGCTTAAAACTCACGCCGGGCGCGTGTGCGAGTGTGCCCAAGATCCCGAGAGGAGAATGGAGAAGGGATTGCGGTGTGACCATCCTCCCTGGGGGGTGATTTCTTGCTTTCTGTCTCTATGTCTCTGTCTGTCTGGCGAGCGTACACGCCCTATAGTGAAAATCTCTCCAAAAAAAAGAAAAAAGAAAAGGAAAAAAAAAAAAGACCCAAGCAAGCATTTTGGTCAACACCCTAATCCCCAAGTAAGCGTTTTGGTCAATGCCCTAATTCCCACTGGGATGATCAATTAATCAGGCAGTCTAATTAAAGGACCTGGCTGGCTCACACTGGGCATGCGCGATAAGGTGATCAAATTCCTCATTCCTTACCTGTGAGAAAAGTTCACAAGTGCAGAAGAAAACGTGTGAATTAAAATTCAAATGAAGGACAGGTAATATGACAGACCTCCCACCAATAAATATTCATGATCACCTCTAGTAATAAAAGTAACAATTAACCAGTAACAAGCACGGTTGCCACCTAGCAGTCTACCCGCCCAAGAGCCTTTTGGGTGTACTTTCCTTTCTTTCCTATTAAATCTTCTTTTCTACCTACTTCATTCGTGGTTGCGGTTTCATTTTGTGCCTAGGGACAGATCTCTAATTTTAGTGATCTGGACCCAAAGAACCAAGGACTTCACAACACAGCTCGAATTCTTCCATCTGTTAACATTACCAGTGACCAGAGTCACCTCTCCAGAAATTCAAACTCTATAAATGGCTGAACTTAGAACACTGGTGGTGAGAATATAAAATGATACTGCCATGCTAAAACAAAGTTTAGTGATTTCTTAAAAAAAACTAAACATGCAACTATTACTGAATCCAACAATTATACTACTGGGCATTTATCTCAGAGAAATGAAGACTCACGTACACACAAAAACCTAAAAAAAAAAAAAAAAAAAAAAACCAGTCTAAAAAAGTCAGAAACTGTAGGATTTCTCTTCATGAGGTACTAACTGAAGGCAGAACCATAGAGACAGAAACTAAAATGGTAGTAGCCAGGGGCTAGGGTTTCGGATCATGAGCTTTTATTTAACGGGTATAGAGTTTTGGTTTTACAACATAAAAAGAATTCTAGTGATGGATGGTAGGGATGGCTACATGACAATATTAATGTACTTAATGCCACTGAATTATGCACTTCAAACGGTTATTAAGATGGTAAAAATTCATGTTTTGTGTATTTTATTACAATTTTTAAAAATGAGGGAAAAGGCTTATACACAAACACATACAGCAATTTTAATAGGCAAAAACTGAAAACAATCCAGATTTTCTTTAACAAGTAAATGATTAAAGAAACTGTGGTATAGTCACACTATGGAATGCTACTCAGCAATAAAAAAAGTAAATTATTCACACTCACAACCTGAATGGACCACAAGGTATTATGTGTAAAAGGTATTATGTAAAGAAGCCTGTTTCAAAATGCTATATACCATATAATTCCATTTACATGGTATTCTTTTCATTTTCTTTTTTTTTTTTTAAGAGAGATTTTTACTGTAGGGTGTAGTGCATGTGCTCACCAGAGAGACAAAGAGAAACAGAAAGCAAAAAATCATCCCCCAGGGAGGATGGTCATATAGCAATTCCTTCACTTCGCTTCTCCTCTTGGGATTTTGGGTACACATGCATATATGCCAGGCATGAGTTTTGAGCTGCTGGATCCAGAATATTACACCATGGTGTAACGGTTAAACGGTTAACATTGCTGAACTCCCATGTAGTTGACAGCTGTATGAGATCCAGACCCTGCGGCTTTAAACTCATGCTGGTGCATGTGTGTGTGTGTGTGTGCTCAAAACCCCAAGAGGAGAATGGAGAAGACTGCACTGTGGCCAGTCTCCCTAGGGGGCGTTTTCTTGCTTTTTGTCTCTGTCTCTCTGGCGAGCACACAAACTCTAGCAAAAATCTCTCTTTAGGAAAAAAAAGATACAAGTATAGGAATGGTGAATACAATGGTAGCTAGAAGTAATGGCTAGAGGAGAGTTACTGTCAAAGGAATAACACAATTTTGTTTTTTTTTTTTTTGAATGATAGAATTGTCATGTATCCTAATTGTGGTAATGGTTATGGGAATGTACACATATATTAAATCATAAACCCATATACCAAAATAGAAAAATACCTTTTTACAATCCAATATTAAAAAGAAAATATTAAATGTTTAGAGGGAAAATAATCTAATTGCTAGCAGTGGGAAGGTACTGGTAATAAAAACAGGAGAGAAAAGGGGCAGGGGCATAGCAGAGCTAGAATCAGAAACACAAGGTCACCCAGTAAAAAGGAAAACTCCATGCAGCCTGCAGACAGACTAGTTGTGGGAAGTGTATGGCAGAGAGGAACAAGGTTGGCTCCAGTGAATCCAAGCAGAATTGACAAGGGAGCTAATCTGTTTAAGAGACTCAGGCAAATAAGGGCACCATTAGCACACAAGTGCTAACCAAATCTTATAAAGGTAACCAAGGCAACCACAGGCAGACATAACTCAAGAGTTTTTCAATTCCCTTTATCCACCTCACCCCCTTCCAAAAAAAGCTTACCTAGCTCCATAGAACAGATATCATAATCCATCTAGTTTTTTCCAACTGGCCCTATAGCTAGGGCTGGCCATGTAAACCTATTCCAACCAAATAGATAAAAGGGGACTACTGGGAAATATTTTCCTTAATGAGTTTAAAAATGCAGAGTCAGCTAAGGGCCCTTTAGCAGCTAAATCTAAAACAAGCTAATTGTCCATTCCTATCTTCAAATTTAGTTCTGATTCCAAGTTAATGACCGCCATCTAGCAATGAAGAGGCAATAAGCCTCAGGACAAATGAGCAACATGGTCAGAAGAGAAGACAAGAAAGAGAAAAGGTGCCTGCTATCTCAAGTTACTGCCAGGGATCTCAAATGCCTGCCCACAGATTCTGTGAAGCAACCATCAGTTGGGTCATTTCCAGCTGAGAATTTTCCCAATTCACCTGCTCACTATGTAAGTGCACACATATTAATGGATTCAGGAAAGCAGAGAACCTAGGACTGAACTCCAAGAACAACAACATCAAAACAGGAGAAGTGATTCTTAAGTGGGAAAGTCTCCAAAAGGAACCAAGTTATCCATTTCTAGCTCTGAGCACCATAGTATCCCTTTTTTAATGGCATGTGGAAACCCCCATAATGGATTCAAAGGATCACAGGCATCACTCTGGAAAGTATCTTCATGTAGCAGTGGACCGCCACAAATAGGTATTACACTTTCTAGAACCCACTCTGTGGGAGGGTGAAAGATACAAGTCACAATGAACCACCTCTCAGAACTTCGCAATATTCAAGAATCTAACAAAGTCTGCAATAGAGATGCTTAGCAGGATACTTCCCAGATTTAGCCATAGTCCCTCTTTTTTGCACACTCCTTTTGGCACCAGGGAACACAATGATGGAGAGCAAATGCCTCTATGCCATGAGGTAAGCCAGTAGCAGAATGCCTTTTTGCTGTGTGACATTAGATGTATGTCACCTTTTGGAGCTTCCTTTACTCAGTTGGTGTTAAGAGAGCTGCTCTCAACCTTGCAAAACTATTCTGAGGATACAGTGAGATGACATAGGGATCAAC